TATAATACGACGGGTCCATGACATTGCCACTTCACAATGGCTAAGACCACAGTTAGATAGATCAACGTACACGTAGATTCGGCTACACCCTCCAATGTTAAGAATTAGAAGGTGATCTACCCTATGTGTAAATTTACCTTTAGTCCAACAACGGTTGCAGTTTCTCGTATCCCTGAAAACATCGATGGCACATGCTTAGCGTTCAGCCGCCCGCACAGATATTCGAATATTATATGTGAACCTGCCTTTTTTGACGTCCAGGCCGCAGAGTGCGGGCCCGTCTAATTCAACGTCATTCGGGCCAAGGCTGGTCGGCACCGTTGACACTGACAGTCGCAAATGTTCGGCGGTCATGGTGACTGTAACATGACAGGTAGTAATCAGTCTACCTCTTTAAATGTGAAGTATAAGAAGCAAATACAAGATCCCGAAGAGCTTGGATCTGTTCAAGTTATCCTGACCCAGACTTTGCAGGCTCCTGAAGTCATATACTCGTAGGTGAGAACATGAGCTGTCTTCTGAGGGCCAGGACGTATGAACTGAATCAAAAAGCAGCAAGAAACGACCTTTGTAGATAATGCACCAAGAACACACAATTCCGTGGAACGCCCTCGCCTCCAATTTCAAATTCAGCCGCGAAAACCCACATTTTACACCCCGTCGCACCGGGCTCTTCCCACGCAACCTCTCCACCCAAGCCCAAACACTCAACCACTTCGTGCGCATTCTGCACAAGACCATCACCGCCTTTTCCGAGACCGAGCGCGCGAAATATGGCGCCTCCTTTGATGCCCCAACCTCGGGTAACCTCTTTTCGGATGAGCTACGTGATCGCTACCCAGAATACCTGGACGAGAAGAATCAGCGCATCGAGAACTGGATTGAGCGCGCCAAATGCTATTACAATCCTCCCAATCTCGGGTACACGACCAGCCAGGCAGATCTCGCCGAGGTGGTGAAGATTCTCATCGCCGAGAACCAGTTGGAGACGCTCCTGATGCTCGCGCACCACCCAGAGATCCCCCTAGGCACGCTGCGGCACCTTAGTTGGGGTCACCACTTTGGCTTCTCGCGCGTCATGGAGTCTGCGCTGCAGGCGTACGTTCTGCTTAACCTCTTTGCTGCGGCGGGCTTGCTGGAGAGGGGCGAATACCTGGAGACCTGGGAGTACAAGCTCATGGTGAGGACATCTACGCAGAGCATGGACTATCCCGCGCAGCAGCTGCCACATCGCGAGTACCTCAAGGCGCTGCCGAAGGACACCGCGTCGACGATGCCGGAGGTGCATCGTGATTTTGCCCGTCTGCAGGAATACTTGAAGACGATCTTCTGCCTGCTATATCGCTATGATGTGGTTGTGCGGGAATGTGGACTGGATCCGCAGTGGGAGGGCGAGATCGTGGGGCTGTTTGAGTATGATATTGGGACGGGAGTGCGGATCGAGGCACGCACGATCGAGGGAGAGTATATCAAGCGGTTTGTTTTGAGTCCAGCCCCACATGCGATAAACTAGGAAAACATCTCTCTGACCTAAATCAAACGAGATTTCCCAAGGACACGATGCAAAGGATGTCGAATTGGTTATATTTCCTTCTATTGATCATGGTGCGAAAACTGTAATCGACGAGGTAAAAGAAGCAATCCTCCAACATACAACATGATTTGCTTGAATAAAGTCCTGACGTGGAAACTTGCCTTGTAAACGACAAGGTCATAGCCCTAATCTCGAGTTAACCAGGAGCCTTCGAAGGATGATATTCTGTCCGATTCGCAACCACAGTCAAAGAGGATAGTTTCACATCGCACCGACAGGGCTAAGGGAAGGAAGCCTATTCCGTTCGCGTTGTAGACAGAACAGTGCGGCGCAAGTACGGTAGTAATTCTAATACCAGTTAACATACAAACCAGTCCCATCCGTTCCAGAACATAATCATACAGATCCGAGTCACTCGTTCACTCCTTCTTCCCCGCCTTACTTCCTGTGCCCCACACAACCTCCTCCACGGCCTTCCTCTTACCCTGCCACGCGAGCACAAGCCCTTTCTCCCAAGTGCGCAGTGGGCTGAACATGCCCACACGCTTCTGGTAGGCCCTGTACTCCTTCGGGTACTTGCTCAGGCTGATAGACTCCGTGAATATGGTGGATGAAAAGAAAAGGGCGGAGAGTGAGAGGGCAGGAATGAGATTGGCGAGTGGCGCGAGAAGGCGTTCGAGGATAGGGATGAGGACGTAAGGGTTCTGGCGAATGACAGTGATGGAGGGAATGAGGTGGAAGGGTGACGAGGTGAAGGAGAGGTGTGGGGGTGCAGGCGCAAGCAGAGGGAAGAAGGTGATTATCCACTGATGAACCGAGCCACGAGTTAGTTTTGCTTCAGGTATAGAATTCACAAGAAAGGAACTCACCCAGAACGACTGCTCGCAGAGGAAATTAGGATGGCGAGAGTACGCCCAGAGTCCTCGGGTAATGAACCCCCTTTTAGCGTCCTCCGGGGTGAAGTTCAGGCGTGCACCAGGCCATTGCTGCTTCTTGTCGTAAGGCTCGACGCCATTTTCCCCTTTCTCAGACGCTAGATAGGCATGCTTATAGGAGTGGTAGGCCCATTGTTGGTTGTCCGAGGTAAATTCAAACGCAAGGTCTACGAGCGCGAGTGCCGCGAGGAGAAGATCGGAAAGGGCGAGAGAGTCATGTGGTTGCATCGTCGACGCGATTTTGGTGGGCATGCCAAGGAGGAGCAGAAGGACGTTCTGGGTGGCAGCGATGAATGTGAGGTTGGTGAGCTGGAAAAGCCATGCAGGGAGCTTGGCTCGGAGAACTGCCCAGCGGTAGTCTTCATCTTGACTAAGTTTGAATTAGCCGCGTTACGGATCTCACACAGAAGCTATACATACAGTTTGAAGAGACCTCGGCGGTACGTATTGTACGACAGGCTGCAAAGCAGGAAAGGGATGAGTAAGGCGGATACAGGCGGATAGGCGTGTAAGGCGCACCGACACATCCATACGAAGACTATTCCGAACATCAAGAGCGCCCTGGGGCTAAAATCTTTGGCTACAGCCCACCCAAGGTCCTTCGGTGTATACGGACATAGTGGAAACAAAGGCTCTTGCGGCCAAAGAGGCATGAGTGCATAGTACGCAGTGTAGATGGTTGGCAGAAAGGTCCATAATCGATCGACCTGGGAAACGTTGGCGGTGAGGAGAGATAGAATCCATGTTACGGCCGTTGTAGCAATACAGAACTGAGCGGGCCACTGGTATGCTGCGGGTACAGATGCGAGTAGTGCGTCCATGGTGAAGCGGTTCAAGTTGTTGACCAACTTTTATACAGACAACAGGTAGCCTCGATGACAGCCTCGATCGTGCGACGTCGTCGTCGTTTGGCCCGATATCGCCACGCACATGTGACTAATCTACGCGCGTCGCGACCTCTTGCAAGCCGCACATCGTCATCGTTCATCAACATCGCACCGAGGATTTAAGTTTCAACTGGTCGGTCTCAGAATGCGCACGCCATCCGGCGATCCAGCCACATATCTCGATCCAGTCCCGCCTTCCCAAACCGTATAAATAGGGCCCGAAAACATTGTTTTGAAGTAGCTACTTTTCCCCCCGATAATTCTCATCGCACACTGCGCTCTATATCTCTTCAATACTGGTCTCTGGCCCTTCTCCCGTCCGCTTCTCCTTATCGGAAACACGACTACAAATAGGCTCTATCGGATTGATCATGGAGTGAGCATGTATATGTACGGCGGCCACAGAAACCTTACCCCTGACCGACTCCCGAGACGCTATGCTGTGAATAACGTTGATTGGTAAATACTGAATATTTTCAGCTGTAGTTCAGTCCTTTTACTAATATCCCATCTCACCATGTCATACAGAATCCCCTGCGCTCGTTGCCTCGCCAAGAATGGTCGGTCCTGTGCGCTCAGGAATCGTAGGTACGTCGTCTACTTATGCATAAGGCGCCAAGCTTTTGAACTCGATCACGTCAGGATCGGGTGTTTTCCAGTAAAAGTGACCACAAGTGACGCTCAGCAATTTTCTTCATTGACGTTGCGGTGAGAGGCCAACACCTAGGTATTAGTCTGTACTGCTCATCGCTCTAGGCTGTTCCGTGTTGAGCTATTCTTCCTCGTGCAGATGCAGACCTTACTGGTCAGATCGTTAGCAGAATTCGTCGTTCGACGCCGGCGATCTTGCCAACAGTCATAACAAGGGCAATATCATAACAAGCCGTCCTATAACCCGTTGAGACAGTGTAGAGATTACTACCACACCGGCGCTTAACCAATCCTCTGAGAAACACAGTTCACGGCCGTAACCTATACGGCCGTGGCCCGCACGAGGGATGACGTGCAGTCCTGGAGTTCAAGTGCTCAAGCCGCAGGTCGCTACAACCGGGGATAATTCAACACATCCTTTGGGGGAAGGGAATAAGCCATTGACCAGAATAAGGAGAAGAAAAAAATTGTGATTTCTTTACGTTTCTTCCATTCACGACAAACTGGTAGAGGCACATGCGGCGTTGGGAATATCCCTCGATCTTGCGGGATTTCTAAAGGTGTGAGGATGAGGAACAAAAAACTCAGATCGCACAGTTCATGATGCGCGAGACGAGAGAGCGAGACGCGCGTGAACGAGAAGAGAAACAAAATACGGTATATTCGAGTACCTAGCGTAGCGCACGTAGACAGGACAGGAATGAGAACAGAACATAGTGATATGGAATAGAAAACGGGAGCCGAAAATCTGGGGAATATGAGGAAACATGAGATATCTAATCTAATCTATGTATCGTGATGAGTCGGTCTGACGTATCGTCGCCGTCGTCAATCAGCTCCAGCATATTATATATCAATCGTTCTCTAATCAATTATTCACTAGGTCTACGAACTCTAGCTGATGCAAAGTAGTTCCGTCTCAAAACGGTGGGTCCTCGGGCGTTCAGGGTTATCTCTCCATCTCATATATCTCTTCCAACATGTCTATGCATCGCCACCGTAGCACAATGGTTAGTGTGTCGCTTTCCTACTTGGGGTAAGGATTAGCTTCTAATTATAGAACTAATCCCCTGGAGTAAGGCGGAGGTTGCGGGTTCGAGTCCCGTCGGTGGTTCTTTTTTATCTTCCTGTTTTGTAGACGTACTCGTGTGAACAGAGTTTGAGTGATCTGTATAGACTCCGGCACCGTTTCAACCAGTTCTGGAGCTGACCACGGATACTTATTACGTCGCCCGCGAACAGCGACGCGTGAAATTATAAAGAGGAGAATGAACGATGGACGCAGTCTCACTGGAAAGGAGCTGGAGACGTTGGACAAGATGATATGATGCACACGGGTCGTGGTGCACACCGAGGCCTAGGGAGCTCAGATGGGAGAAGATGGGAGAACGGGTGAGAAAGACAGTATATATTCAAGACGCGAATGCGCGCCTTATATACAATTTCAGAGCTATTTAAAGAACGCAAAGGAGTTGGCCGGAGGTGGTTGGATCGAGAATTCAGGAAACCTGTGACGGAAAGAAGTGGTTGGATCGAAAATCCAACAAGCATGTGAAACCTCTAAGGATGCGTGCGATCTAGATGGTGTACCCATGTAAGGTACGAGCTTTGCGTCGCGCGCCCATATACACACCTCATTCATACCGGTTCTTGAGCCGCGCCGTCGTAGTATGCGATGGCTTCGTATTAATACGCGTAAATCAAACCCAAAGCGCCGAAAACTGATAACATCTCACCGGCCAAGCCCTGCGTCCCTTCAGGTCCCTTCACGGAATCCGTCAAATTGTTGCACGCCCTCAGGTTTGCTATTCAACATGTCTGGCAATGTAGCTGTCGGCCCTAGCTATGTTGAAACTAGTAGGTCTTGTGTAATCCTTGAGGCCAGCTCGGCTGCACTAGACGTTTCACTCAGAAAGTGAATATGGATGGGAGTTGAATTGAATAATACCTAACGAAGATGGTGAAGATACGAGAATTGTCTTCACCTGATCATGAGCGCCAAGCACATTATTCATAAATGAAATTGCACGTGGTTTTACAGAGACAGCAGTGAGAGCGAGATGAACGTATGGGTGCGAAGGAGCATGCCCCTGCTGGAAAGACAGGGAAAGACGAGACATTCTGAGGGTGACTTGGGAGGCCGACACGGAGACGAGCGAGCACCGGAATGACTTCGACTGGGTACGCGATCTTCGTATGTGTATATTGCTTCTCTAACGCGTTCGCGAAGGCTGTTCCGCACGGATATCATATGTCCAAGGCCTGAGCGCTGAGCGCTGAGCGCTGAGTGCTCGGGCTTCGGGTTGGCAGTGCCTTCAACGAAGTGTTTGCTTCCCCAGGTCATACGAACGCGCACAAATGTATACAAATATTCACCTTCTCGAGCCTCTCCCGATTCGTAGCACAGCCCTTTCGGTGAATGCAGAAAGTGATGCACGGCCGCCTTGAACTAAACTGTCTCTTGGATCCGATCACTCCTTACCGTTTGCGGTCCATGATAGGCACTCGCCTCCACATGCACGTCTGCGCGTCTAGGATCCTCAAACACACCGCGACGAACTCCACTGCTTGAGCGTGGGTCCAACGAAGTCCAGGATCCCATAGTTCAATGACATCTTCCCCAGAGAGGAAGAAGCCGACTCGGAATCTTATCTTTCAAACCTGATCCCCAGTGAAAATCGGCCATGTTGAGGTATGTTTAGATCTGATGAGATCGGTTTGTCGCCAATCCATCTGCTCATATCTGCAACAATCGAATTGAAAACATTTCGTACGTCTCGTAAACCTGAAATTCACGTCGTACGAATCACGAAATTCTGCATCAACGTCGCATCAACGACTTGAACAGATCACAACGCGCGCCTTCGACAGTATTTGACACTGTTTGACTCCATTTTTCTGTCGTTTTTTTTTGTTGTTGCACCGCTTCTCTTTCACCTCCATCTTGTTCAACCAAGTCCTGCCTACGATGGTTCCCTTCCCCTTTCTTCCTACTCTGTATCTGCCTACTGCTTTATCCTCACATGAAGCCAGGTGGTGTGCATTCCCGCTCGATTGCAATTTGTGTGTTCCGAACCTCGTGCTGGCGGCGGGCCTCACACTTGCCTTTGAAGGGACATCTGGGACTCATTGTAAGTACTCCGAGATCATCGACTATCTGACTTCTGTAGTCATTTATGCTTCATGATAGGAAGGGCTCGGTTCAACAGCTCTTTTCTCCCTTTTCAGCCCCAAGGGATAGTCGGACTCGACATTCGTCTCAGATCGGAGATGATATGATATTTTGGAATGTAAGCGGGCTGCGGCTCATAGTGCCGGGTTCTTTTGTGGTCCGTAAGTCTCGCTTGACCGCCGCAATGCTGATGTGCCGTGGTCTTACAGCTTGCGTCATCTCCATCAAGCCCATTGTAGGCCCATGTCCCCGCACCATATCCTACACCTGCCGTAGAGCCCGTCATTAGCGTCTGCTCAGTAATTTTTTGCAATGGCGGACACTCATTCTATGGGGCCTCGGTGAGTTTCTTTGTTTTCCTCCCCATTGTGTTGAGTCCACGACTGATGTGTGCATGTCCACGTTCACCAGTGCTGTGCAGGAAATCGGAGACCTACCCGTGCGAATCCGCAAATTGCAGGCGATGCCGCTAGGGCAAGTACTGCGGGAAGGAGTGGTGCCAGTTTACGGCGTGGAGCGAGGAGCATCTTTTCTGGTGCAGCGCGAAGGAAGACGAGACGATGATGCAGCCAGAGCGGCTGCTGCCGGCGACGCTGCCATTGGCGCCGGGATACCCGTAGTGCAGGCTCAGGCTGGGCCCTCCGACCCGTCGCAGGGCCATGTGCGATGGGCTGAGAGGGCCGGGGATGGGTGGGGGGTGGTGAAAGGGGCGTCGCATGTGACGCCGAGGGTCGAGTACGGGTCTCCTGTGTATTCTATCAGTATTTTCTGTAGTACAAAGCAATGAAAAGCAATTTTATAAATTCCATCCTGTGCTATTATAAGATCTCGAACGCCAACCAATGTCGACATATAGGAACAGACAGAAGCCGAAATATATATGTAAATGACACACAGAAGCAGATTCTCACAGATTTTCATCTGCAAATAGTCCGGAATTCTGCTTTGGTCGGTTGTCATCAGCGAGAACCGATGACAACCGATTTGCGCTGAACCGAACATGTCCTGTTTTGACTGGGCCTGATCAAGAGACTGTTTTGTATCGTGAATCCAAGATCTTACGAGGGCATACTATCACGTGTACTGGTATGCAAAATGCCATAAAGTTGCAAAATGCAATGTTTGAAGGCATCCGGGCGCCCAAATCGTTGATCCTCCGGGAATATTGTTGCCTGAGAACTCTTATATTAGGATCGTGAAAGAAATCAGGTATTTTGTTACTTGTATGAATTCGTCTTGCGATTTCGTCGACAAGGAGCAGGTAAATGCAAAATTTATGAAAATTGGCCTCGGCTTGAGGCAATACAGCGTTCTGTGACCTGGGGAGCTCAATGTATGACCTTTAAATACTTCCCTAGGATATCCCAAAGTCCCATGGGCACAGCTGCACTCACAACGAATGTATGAAGCAGATGGTCTTTTTGCGTGACATTTGGTGACATTCCTTCGCTTGTGTCCACTAGAATTTGAAGTCCGCCCGCGCCAGATCAACGTGACTCACCGTGACAAAAGTTTTGCAACTCTCTGTTTTTGGGACTTCGCCCACCGGGTTCGCTCCGACTGGTTTGCTCTGCACTTGCTTCAAAATCTGATATCGCAGACATCTTGTTTAGAGATTATAGTACCTGTTCCGAAAGTCCGATTAGAAAAAGGTGAAACAGATCGGTTTCTATTCACGGTTTGCCTAAAGTTTTGCAACTCCCCATCACTGATAGTATCTGAATTGAGAACTACGGCGTCAACTCCGGCGATCACTCCGGCGATCGCTACGGCGGCAAATGCCGGCTGCAGCATCCGTGCCAGTGCCCATGTCATGCAAATGTCGTGTTTAGGTGCTCGTCTACTCGAGCTAGTTACTTGCATACATCTCGCTCCAGGCAGCAAAAATATGGACAATGACATATTATTTACTTCCGTAGAGACCATCATCCAGCGTGCTTGCCATCATAATGAGCTCCGATCAATTTCGGTTGGACTGGTCACTGCACGAACTGTTGCACCAAATGCCTCGCTCGATGGCGGCCCATTACTCTTTACACATAGGTAGGGTTCTCCCGATACTATAATGTCTTGCATGGTATTCAAGTCCTATAGTCATGTAATAAAATTTATAATATGTTTTGAATTTTCTAAGGCTGCAGAAGATATCTCTCTTCCATGCAATATATGTATTGGTTGGTTTAAGGTTGAGCCACTGAGAGTGTGGTATTCTCTAGCTGCAATAATACTGACAATATATATGGAAGTTCATGGTGGGAGGGAGAGGCGACAAGACGAGTCCGCGCATACTCGCCGGCAATGAGCGGCCCGGCTGAGCCGCCGTAGTCTGGCCACCGGCGTGTCAGCCGTAGTTCCCAATTCCGACACTTTCTGGATCTTACTCGGCTTTGAATATGAACTTCTGCTTCGTAGCAAGGATCCAGTGTCGTTGTGAGGTTTGGTGTGTCGGAAAGGCATGTTGGTATGAGAAACGTGGAGCCCCAAATGGCAATGTTAGCTCTGCTAGGCGCTGGGAGAAGCTTCTTTTCCCTTTAGTGGCACCCCATCCCAACCGCAATGTCTGATTGAAGATGTGACATCGAGGCGCCGCCGAACGTCGAAGTCTGCGGCCGCCGCGTATGCAGCCTACGCCATGCAGGTACTAGTGAATATATGGGGACAGATGATCACAGGGCACAACTCGGCGTCGAATTGAAGTTGGCCATCTCTGCGTGCCTCTTGAACTTCCCCTCAAAGGCAGGCCGGCTTTATTGCCTATTATGCTGGCTATCCGACTGATCCCACCAATCAGCTTCGCTCCACGGATCAGCTACATGTACTCGCATATCAGATTTGCGGGACATAAGTACAAGATACCAGATACCAGACGAATGCGTCCTCCGAAACGAAACGTTGAAACGGGACACGAGTCCGAGGTCTGTTAATCATCTAATCTTTTGATA